TTCAGGTACTCGTTCTCAATAACTTCTCGTAACAAGAGAACAAACTAGAACAACAAATTAACAATTCATTTAACTCCTAGCTAGGCAATACAGTTACAAACAAGCCTAGTTCATACGAGTCTATTTCGACCGACTCTTCCCCTATCGGTTCTAAGAGTCGATTAAAACAAACTAGAGGGTGGTTAATCGACTAATCAAATAGAATCACTAATATCAAGCACGGATAAATCCAATTCAACGAAACAATTGGTCGTTGAAGTGTAACCCTTCAACAATTCTCAATATTCAAGCTAAATAATTGATGATCCCTAATCAACTATTAACTAGCATAAAATTGAACAATCACGAGAATGATAATCACAAACGATTGCAAAACATCAATCCCCTAACCCTAGCACAAAGATTTAGCTACTCATCATCGAACAATCAACACAAACAACCATAATCGAAGTGAACATATCCATGGATTAAATGTAACGAAAAACTTACAATTAATGGAAATTGAATGTTGTATTCGATAAACAAGAATAATCTGAAAGCTAGAGCAAAATCTGAGTTCAAATCCGTGTTCTCCATAAAAAAAATGTCAAAAGAGAAAGAAAAACGAATTTACGAAGAGAAAAATTTGAGAAAATCTTAAACCTAGGTTTTGGACATAATACCTCACGTTTGAAGAAATCTGTTCTTAAAAACTCTGCTATCGCGCGCTCTACGGCTGTGGAGAGGCTCGCGGGCCGCGGTGAAGAAGGGCTCCGCGACCGCGAAATCCTCCGAGGCCATGAGAATTTTGGAGCTGAAGACTGGGTTGCTGGGATCGTTTGTTCGCCGTGGGTGTGGTGCAGAAGAGGTCGAGGCCGCGGAGGAGAGAAACAGGGTACGTCGGGAATTGAGTAGCAGGCGCCGCGGCATGCTCTCTGCCGCAGCGCGGAAGGTGGCATCTTCACGGCGTGATACAGTCTTCATGGCGTGGCATGGGAGGTTTTCACGGCGTGGCAGGAGAAGGGTGGCGCGGCATGGTGCAGACGTGAAGCTTTTGGACTGCCGGAGTTGTCTCACGGCGTGGTGCAGTGTTTATTGTGTTTTTGTGCTTATTTCTGTGTGTTTTATGTGCTCGAGTTTAGTACTTTTAGATTTTTTTTAGTGTCGACCGGTCCATTTTATCGTGTTTCATGCATTTTTATTCTCGTATCATGTATTTGTAGTTCGGCGTATTTTTTTCTTGTCTTTTTGGTGTTGTTTAGGTCCACATTATTCGATCTTGGGAAGACGAGCCATTTCCGAGACATTTTCAAGTCACCCGAACCGTGTCCGAACCACGCGAACCATTTTCGAGTCATTCCGTGCATACTTATTAAATGCGTGGTGATATCGATTTGCACATCTCAAGACGGGGAGAACGAGATTTGGGAAGCGTGAGTCAAAGTTTGAAGTCAATCGGATAAGTGTGCGAGAAATTAGAGCCTTAAAAGTCGAGCCACAGTTACCGGGACAAAGTTCCGAGTCTAGCACTCAGCCCCCCGAAGATTCGCGCCCTCAAAAACATTTCTGCGACCTACGACCATTTCGCGAGCTAAGAGTGGCCTACAGTCTCCAAATTCAACGCCCGCGAATGCAATTCCGCGAGTTAGCTGCAACTCGTGAGGTAGCTACAAGGACAGCCTTCAAATTTCGCGCCTGCAAACGCAATTCCGCGAGTTAGCTGCAACTCACGAGTTAGCTACATGCTGCAGAAGCCAAATTCCGCGCCCGCGAAAATCCTCACCTAGCCCGCGAATCACCTCTACCTCGCGAGTTCTCCTTTGCTAGCGGAAATAGCCCGCGAAAATCAAGATTTAGCTCGCGAGTTCGCCTCAACTCGCGAGTTTTCTCATTTAATGTGTGTTTTAGTGTGTGTTTGTGGTGTAGCTATAAATAGACATTATGATTTGTATTTTTGGGAGAATTCCTCATTTGCTAAATTTTTCTCTTCTTAATTTTTCTCTCCCTTCTCTCTAACTTTCTTTGTCTCTCTAAAGGCTCCAAGACCCTATTTTTAATTGTAATATTTCTCCATCAAGATTACAACTTTTTGGCTTAATTCTTCTCGTGGATGCATTAGAGACGTGGAGACTTCGCTTAAGGTTCATGATTTCGTTAGTCTTGCTTGTCTTTACTTATTGAGTTATTCTAGGGTTAAGATAGACACATCCATGAGTCGATTATGCTATCATCCTCGTAGGTTAGGGAGTTTGTGATATTGTTATTGATTGCGTGAGCGAGAATTGATTGAGAAATTAATTGATCACGAGTGACTATTGGTTGATTGCATGTTCCCGAACCTATGAGGGCCTTCTTTCCATCTCGGGTCTAGGAGTACCTTGTTTTCTTTTCTCTTTGTTTTTCCTTTTTCTTGCAATTTGAGGTGTTGCTTGCTAATTAATGTTGAATCTTGCTTTCATTTAGTTTAAAGTTGCCATCTTTAGCTTAATCCAAACCCCAAATTGCGAGTAGAGTGTTTAGGACTTTATTTTCTTTTCTTGTGAGTCGATCGTTGCTTGAATTCATGTTCGAATAGCCTTCCTTTGAGAACGACCCGAGTCGGGTAACTCGGTTACCACATGTCCAAAAATACTACAAACAAAATGGCGTCGTTGTCGGGGAAGGCGAGTAGGCCATTGGATTTAGACAATTGCTTGACGTTTTTTTTCCCGTGTTTCTCTTGCTTTTTGTGATCCTTGCTTAATTTTGTGTGTTTCTCTTGCTTATTCGCCTGTTTTCGATTTCTCTTGCTATTTGGTGTTTGTGTTTGTGTAAATATTGTGCCGTGTTATTCGTGTTTTTGTTATTTTTGTCTTGGTCTCGTGTGCCTTGGTTTGTTTGTTGTTCTTATGCGAGGTACTTCACTTGAGGAGCTCCGATGGACCCGTATGATTATTCCTATGCCGAAAGCTCGTCTCGTGGGCACCCCGACAATTACCAAGAGGAGATGTACACAACATATGGGGAGTCGTCTTATTCATATCCAAGTTATTCATCTTCTTACTCTTATGACGAATGCTCTACTTCCTACGGGTATGGCCCGAGCCATTCGTACCCAACATCTCGAGCCGATTATGTTTATGGCATTTCGGGTCACGACGAGCCATCTTATTCCAATCCTCCACCTCCGGACTACTACTACCCTCCGCCTCCCGATTATGAAGAGACATCTCCACCCGAGCCGACTCGGGAAGCTTCTCGAGTCAATCTAGCCGAGATCATGGAGCATTTAGAGGAGTGCAATCGATTCCTTCGTGCTTCAATGGCTCCCATGTCCGAAAAGGAAGGAACCGGATCCTATGCTCTACCCTCTCCATCATTTGAGCACCAATCAGTTGGCCAACCTTGTACACCAAGGACCGAAGCTTCAATTTCAACCATGGTTGTGCCTTCCGAGCGTCACCGCGATGTTTTGACGAGCATTATATGTTGTTTCCATGCACCATGAAGGACCGGGCGAAGACGTGGTTCATGACCCTCCTCCTGAATTCACTTACCAATTTGAGATTAGCGTTCTTGCGTAGAGAATTTATGGTTCTTTGATGGTTGAGAATTGGGGCTTAGATTTGGACTTCAAAGTCGATTCCCCCTTTTAAATGTGTACGCGTTTTTTATTTTACTTAGATTTTTGATTATTTTTTATTACCATGTCATCAGGTTGATGTATTATATAAAATGGCCCAATGTTCGTCACGTGCGGGTCATTTAACAATTCCAGAGATAGTGTTGACTTTTCGTCACCGCAATGATTTAAATTTTTGTGGAATTTTAAATCACAGGACAAAATAGCAAAACGTTAGATCTTAGGACAAAAAGCTCCATAGGGTCAAACCAACGAGACTAAAATTATAATTTTGCCTCCAAACAAGCTATAATCATGTACTAGGCATGCTAGAACTATAATAAGATTCTTTGCGGATGAGTGAGAAAAGTTTGACACCATTTGAAGTCCGAACAAGTGACATCGGAGCGCACATCGCGTCGTTGCGGGCACGATGGTTGGAGTTGGGCATGATGGCTCGTCATGGGCGTGACGGTTGCTCGTGTCGAAAAGGTTTTACCTCAATTTTAGACCATCGGGCACATCCCGAAATGTGTCTTTGAACACAATGAACCCTCCAAAGATGTCAAAGAGCATCTATAAATAGTACTTATGAATGTGGAATCATTCAAATATCATATTTAGAGCTCTTTTGCATTATTTTTGTGTTCTTGATGTTTGTTTTTATCTTGAGAGCTATGAAACTTGAGTATTGTTCGTTAAAGTTGATATAGCCATATTTTGATATACCGGTCTAAGTACCCATCGCCCGGTCTGAATGACGATTCGAGTCGCCTACATATCGACCGGAACACTCTGAAGTCGACAGCCTTATAGTCGACTCTTCCTATACTAACTATTAAGGAGGAAGTCGACATCCCTAAGTCGACTTCCTCTATTTCCATTATGGTGTAAAGGGTCGACATCCTCGATGTCGACCTTCTTAGTTATCTAAATCGAAGCCTACTAGCTTGAAGTCGATGTGCCGCATTGTGAAGGTGAAGATGATTCAAAGAGTGGTGGTAGAGCCACTTAACTTGTTCCCATGCATGAACTCCAAGTCGACCTCTCGATACTCGAGGACGATTCTTTATACCTCGAGGATGGAGACCTATGACGACTCCAAGCACTTGTCAGGATATTCAGAGCCAACTTGATAAATAAGGATGAATCTTTATCGGATAAGATGGAATCTTAGGCTGACTCAGGTCTAACTAAGAGTTGATTATGACACAAGTAAACCGGGCAAATAGGCCGGTCGACCAGGGGCTTTCTGGGTACTTCAAGACAGGTATTTTCCTTTATAAAAGGAGGAGAAGTAACACCAAACCCTACTATTTTTGTATAAGGGGAAGTTAGTGTACGAAAAAATGACTTCAGACAAGTAAAACGGACTAAAATTGAATTTTTGGCTGAAATAAAATACAAAATATTCAACATATTAATGTATATATACCTTCTTCATGTTGTTTTCCTGTGTTCGAACTACGGGTGCACGGTTATCTTTGGTGAGGAGGAATTCAGTCATTAGCCAATCGGTCTTGGTATTTTCCCCGGGTTTTCCCCTGAAATAAACTAACGAATTTTTGAAGCCGATTTTGACGTCTCTGTGTATGATGGTCTTGTCGGCACCGGTGGCCCTCCAATATCCATCCCCGGCGACTCTACTGGGCCTTGAACCATTTCTGTATTTCGTTTGCCTTTTGGTGAAAAAGTGCCATTTGTTTTTCCCGCTAGGTTTGTACATCTCTGCATGAATTCACAACAACAAAAAACTTGTCATTATTTAATTTGTACAGAAAATAATAATAATAATAATAGCAATAATAATAATAATAATAATAATAATAATAATAATAATAAATAAATAAATTGCCATCCATCAGTTGCTGAGAAAATTTAAACACAGCAAATCAATTTTCTCCGTATTTTACGAAATAGAGATCACAAAAGTACGTAATTACGAATGAAGCAAATAGAAAACAAGTTACAATATACAATCAATTAAACTTGCAAGAAAATAGAAAGAATTGTAGTTACATAGATAAATAACAAGAGAAAGAAAACAATAATATGATTACCTGCTAGAGTATCGGGTCCGAATTTGTAAAATTCGACGACACGAATCTTGTTTCGAGGGAGGCTCTCATTGTTGTTCTTCAAAGACAAGTAGTGTATGAGCTCATCGTCTCGAGGGCAAAACAGGAAACCAGGTGGCACGGACTCGAAGAATTCATCATCATCCATGGCGTACTCCATTATCAAGCTCTTGATCACAAAGTATAATGAAGGCAAGATTTTATATAGCTGAAAGGGTTGCTAATAAGTAGGGTTTTTTTTTTTTTTGTTTTCTTGTGTGATAATCAAGTTTTGTTTGAGCTGAAAGGGTTGCTAAATAGGGTATAACTAACTTTGAGACCTAGCATATATAAGCAAACATGACCGAAAATTTTTCCAAATTTGCAAATTAGTACCTCTTATTTTTTGAATTTGCCACCGACGTGATTAGTAGTAATTTAAATTAGTTTATGGATCGTGCAATGGGCAATATATAGTGCTGAGAATAAATATATTTTAAGTATGTAAAAAAAAATGTCAATATATAAATTATTTGATGGAAATTACGCCATAGATAATTTTGAATTTTAAGGCAATTTTATCCTATCGACTTTACACATCAGCTTTTGTCTCATGTTTAGATATCAATGCATTTTATCCCGAAGCTAATCAACATCGACTAATGTTGATAAAAAATTCTGATATGAATGAAAAGATAAATATACCCTCTATTCTTTATAAATATATTTTAAAAATTAATAATTTTTATATATTATATATTAAATTAATAATCGTATAGTGAACTTCGATTTAACATCTATATGTACATAAAAAATAAATTAATTATAATTTTTTTTTCTAATAATAATTAAATAATCTATTAACATTATTTAAAAAATTTATTAAATTACTATTTTTTTGTACAATATATATTTTAAAATAAATAATATTTTATTATTTTAAATTAATTTTTAATTAAATAATATTATTTAAATTAATATTTGTAAATTAATAATTATTTTAAATTAAATAAAATTATTATAAAGTTATTAAAATTAAATTAAATATTTTTTTTAAAATAAATAATTTTTTTTTTTTCAAAACGATAGATAATATTATAAATCAAAATGCACAAGTGCGAATATACAGCAGCCAACAGCTGAAAAAGTGGAAGAACAGGTCAGAAGACCGCCTAGAATCCCGACGCTAGCAAAGCTAGAATTAGAAAACTCGCAACTACACAACACCAACTACACAAACAAAAGTAAAACTAAAAAGATCCTGAAATGGAATAAAAATATTTTGATTAAATAATATTTGTAAATTAAATAATAATATTTAAATTAAAAAAATATTTAACTAAAATAATATTTTTTTTAATTGAAATATTATTTAAATGAAATAATATTTTTTAAAATAAATAATATTATTTTTTTGGGACAAAATAGTCATTTCATAGTGGATAAAAATATCCCACCTATTTCATGGGATTGAATTGTCCAGCCACATATGCATCTCCGCGTGGGACCTACCTGCCACAGACATGCCACATGGGCTAAATTATAGTAACATAATCATTTATAGTAAACGCAAGATAAAGTTGGTTAAGGTCGGTTGTTGTAAATATTTTTTCCGAGTAGAATCGAAAGATTCGAACACCAGGTCGTGTCTCACGAGGAAGGTTAGCCGGGATGTGCGTTTATTCAACCACACGAAAAGAAGTAGAACTATTAAACATTCTAATTCAAAGATTGATTGTTTTTAATTATCAGCTATTAAAAATTCAAATAAAGCAAATTAAATAGCAAGCGAAGAGAAATAACAAATAGGATTTAAGGAGCTAGGGAGTCAGGGATATCCGTTTTGGTACGAAATGCAATTAATGGGCGAGTGATTGTTCAACTAAGTGAGTCGAATAACCGACACCTTCAAGTACTCGTTCTCAATAACTTCTCGTAACAAGAGAACAAACTAGAATAACAAATTAACAATTCATTTAACTCCTAAGCAATACAGTTATGAACAAGCCTAGTTCATACGAGTCTATTTCGACCGATTCTTCCCCTTTCGGTTCTAAGAGTCGATTAAAGCAGACTAGAGGGTGGTTAACCGACTAATCAAATAGAATCACTAATATCAAGCACGAATAAATCAAATTCAACTGAAACAATTGGTCGTTGAAGTGTCACCCTTCAACAATTCTCAATATTCAAGCTAAATAATTGATAATCTCTAATCAAAGATTAACTCGCATAAAATTGAACAATCACGAGCATGATTATCACAAACGATTCCAAAACATCAATCCCCTACCCCTAGCACAAAGATTTAGCTACTCATAATCGAACAATCAACACAAACAACCATAATCGAAGTGAACATATCCATGGATTAAATGTAACGAAAAACTTACGATTAATGGAAATTGAATGTTGAATTCGATAAACAAGATTAATCTGAAAGCTAGAGCAAAATCTGAGTTCAAGTCTGTGTTCTCCGTAAAAAAATGTCAAAAGAGAAAGAAAAACAAATTTACGAAGAGAAAAATATGAGGAAAGCTTAAACCTAGGTTTTGGACTGGTCCATTTTATCGTGTTTCGTGTATTTTTCTTATCGTATTGTGTTTTGTGGTTTGGCGTACTTTTCTTGTCTTTTTGGTGTTGTTTAGGTCCACATTATTCTACCTTGGGAAGACGAGCCATTTCCGAGACATTTTCAAGTCGTCCGAACCATGTTCGAGCCACACGGGCCATTTCTGAGCCGTTCCGAGCATATTCATTAGTTGCATGGTGACACCCATTTAACATCTCAATATGAGGAGAACGAGATTTGAGAACCGTGGGTCCAAGTTTCAAGTCAATCGGATAAGTGTGCGCGAAGTTATGGCGAATCGAGCATCAAGGGGCCATCGAACCATTCCCAGTTCCCGCGAAAATGAATTCGCGCCCGCGAATCCCTCCTAACCCGCGAGTTTTTCAGCCAGCTTCATGCCTAGCCCGCGAGTTTTAGATTTCGCGCCCACGAATCGTAGCTATCCCGCGAGTTCCCATTGCCCGCGAAATTTGCCCGCGAAAATGTGACCCTAGCCCGCGAAACGGCCTTGCTCGCGAGTTCTCCATCCCCCAAGCCTTACACTTGAGAGAGAGCTCCATCCCGCGAAAATCCAGCGCTTGCTCGCGAAATACACCTATCTTGTGAGTTTTTCTTCATTAAATGTGTGTGTTTTAGTGTGTGTTTGTGGTGTAGCTATAGACATTATGCTTTGTATTTTTGGAGATAACCCTCATTTCCCAACTTTTAAGTTGGGAAAATCCTCTCTATTTTCTCTTTTCCTTTTTTATATTTTGGTTTGGAGCATATGAATCAAGTTTACCGGCGAATTTCCGGCGACATTGTTTCGAGTAAAGTTTCGAGCTTTTGACTCCGTTTCTCCTTCCAAGTGCGTGTAAGAGTGGGTACTTAGTCTTAAGCCTCATTACTTCGTATATCTTTGTTTGCTTTTGTGAAAATTGATATTGTGCTTGAGTTGCTTGGAGGAAAAGATTGAATCTTTAGATCGTGAATGCTTGACTAAGTGTGATTAGGAGTTAAATGCTTGCTCGTTTTATGCTAGAGTTTGGTTTAGCTACCTAGGGTTTTAGCTCGCATGGCAATGTTCGGTTATTTGTGTGTGATTGATCATAGAGACTCCGACGAACCAAAATCTCTCTTTCCCCCTTGATTTCTCTCATCTTCTTGCGTGCACTAATTGCTTTCGATTTCAATTTCGTAGATTAGTTTAGCTTAAATCAATCCCCTTCAAGCGAGTAGCATGTTTAGGACCTTTTTGGTTGTGTGACTTTGACGACTAGATAGTGAACGAAGCTCCGAAGAGCCTTCCTTTAAGAACGACCCGAGTCGGGTAACTCAGTTACCACATGCCCAAAAATACTACAAACATCTATCCAAGCCAAATAACAAAGCATAGAATTTTGACATCTATGATTCCGAAGCATGCAAACCTGCCATTTAGACTCAGGTGTTTATTGTGTTTTTTGTGTTTATTTATGTGTTTTTGTGTGCTTTCGAGTCGATTTTATGTTTATTTTAGTGTAGACCGGTCCATTTTGGCGTTTATCGTGTATTTTTTATGTTATGTTGTTTGTTGCATATTTTGGCGTACTTTCCCGTACTTTTGCTATGAATTTCAGGTTTATTCCGGGATAGAGATGGAGAGAGAATCGAGCCACATTCCGAGAGATGAGCAGTTTCTGAAGAAGTCGAGTTTCCGAGAAGTTTTGAGCCATCGTGCACGAGACATTTCTACTGTCGAGTTTTCCGAGCATTAGT